GGAGGTTGGGTGTCAGGAAGAAAAACTGGTGGAAAATCCATCTCTGAAAAATCCACCACTGGTGGGACCTGCCTGGCTGGGGCAGGAGGAGCCTGTCCTGGGGAATGGGCTGAGCTGGGTGGTCTTTTAAAATCTTCCAACCTTTTCTCAGTCATCTGCTGCTCAGGGATGTGATAACATTGGTAGGTTGAACATTACCTTCCCTTTTCCCCCATGTCAGGGAATATTTGCATCTCTTCCTCATCTCACGTAGTGCCTGGTTACAGACTTTCTATTTAATTTTAATTTGAATACCATCCAAATGATTTCCACTGCAATTCAAATTGCTCTGGAAGGAGTTGATCTGGAGCAAGAAAAAGGCAGTTGCAGGACTGGACCTCGCTCTTCTGCAGAGCAGGGAGGCAGCAGCTGGCTGACGAGGTGGAAGGCTGAGGTGGAAGCGCAGCATCTCCTTCCCTCCTCCCCAGCCCTTGGTGTCCACGCCTGGGGGGAGCTCAGCACCCTGAGCCCCCTGCGCTGGTCAGAGTGGTGTCCTGCCTCTGCTGCCAGCTCCCTGCCATCCCCAGAGCCGGGGCTCTCCAGGAAGTGCCTCTGTTCCTCGCTCTTGTGGCAAGGCGAGAAATGATGTGTGCACAGCAACTGGGGCTTTTCCTCCTCCCGTAGCCTCATCTTGCCCCAACACTCAGTCACTGCTCTCCACTCCCATCCGACCCAGGTGTCAGGACCAGGCAGGAGCTCTCCCAGCCCCCTCTGACATGTTGTCGCCTTTCTTCCCCCCCCCATCCTAGGGCCAAGGAGACCTTCTGGAGGCCACGGTCCTTCTCCTGTGAGTACATCTCTGCTACCCCTCTCCCACCCCAGCTCTGCTTCACCCTGGGCTTCTCTGAGCTCTGCTCACCTTCCCTGGTCCAGCTCTGACAACGGCAGGAGAGCCGGCAGAGCCCACCCACTCCTCGGAAAGGCTTTGGGATCCACAGCTCCGGGCCATCAACCCCTCGCTCCAGGTCTGCCCAGGGTTGTTGTCCCCACGGGGGGGTCAGGGTGGGGGGGACTGATGCCCTGGCCTCATGCCTCAAAGATGCTCAGGAGCTGTATCTCATCCCGGAGCATCCCAGCTCTTTTGGCTGGCGCTGGGCTCTGCACCGCTGTCTGAGCTGGCAGCGAAGAGCAAAGCCCGTGCAGCGCCCACAGCATGGCACAGCCTGTCCCTTCTTTACAGATAAGGAGCCAGAGACCCTACAGCAGGCCTCCGAGCCAGCCCCCCCAGCAGCCCTAGCTGGCCACCCGTCCTGCCCCTGCGGAGGAGCCAGCCGCCGCTCTTGGGGTCTCCGGCAACAGCTGCCTTTCGGGGTCTGGTCTTTGTGGGAGGATTCACTCTGGAGGAGGTGCTTTTTTTGAATGAAAAATGTGGTTTTATGTTGGGTGGGCAAAGCAAGAGAATTTCACCTTCCCCTGAGGATCTGCAAAGGCAACCAGGATAGTCCTGGAGTGTGTCTGCACTGGGGTGTGCCCCAGTGCAATGGAACCAGACCTGGCAGAGCTGCTAGTAGCAGAGTCAGGTGGGGCAATAAAATGATTATAACCCATTAGGAACAAAATAGAATAAACCAAAAATTATGGCATGCTGCTGAGTAAGTTGCCTGCACCCCATGGTGCCCATGTGCCAGCCCTGCTCCCCTCTCACCGAGCTCTGCTGTCCCTGCCTTCTGCTGGTTCCAGCCACAGGCCAAAGAAAAGATGGATGGTGGGCTTTTTTGTTGTTCCATCCCCTCACTCCCCCTGCAAAGCTGCAAGTCTCCCTCGCTGCTCCCCCCAGCCTCAGATCACGCAGGTGGGGCTGTGGTCCCCACAAACGCCCCACAGCCCCTCACCCCAGCTGAGGGAAGATGCTGTGCCCAG